GAGTGTGTCCAGAGAAGGGCCACGAGAATGATCCGAGGGATGGAGCAGCTCTCCTACGAGACTTAGACAGACTTAGAGAGTTGGGGCTGTTCAGTCTAGAGAAGAGAAGGCTCCGAGGTGACCTTATTGTGGCCTTCCAGTATCTTAGGGGGGCCTACAAGAAAGCTGGGGAGGGACTTTTTAGGCTATCAGGTAACGATAGGACTAGGGGGAATGGGGCAAAGCTGGAAGTGGGCAGATTCAGGCTGGATGTGAGGAAGAAGTTCTTCCCCATGAGAGTGGTGAGACCCTGGAATGGGTTGCCCAGGGAGGTGGTTGAGGCCCCATCCCTGGGGGTCTTTAAGGCCAGGCTGGATGAGGCTCTGGGCAGCCTGATCTAGTGGGAGGTGTCCCTGCTCATGGCATAGGGGTTGGAACTGGGTGATCCTTGTGGTCCCTTCCAACCCTGACAGATTCTGATCTGTTTTAGCAAAGGACTTTAGAGCCCTATTGGCTCAATGGTTGGACTTGATGATCTTAAAGGTCTCTTCCAACCTAAAGGATTCTATGATAGTATATAACGTGATGACTGCTGCTTCTGCCTTTCTACATTCAGAAAAAGCTTTATCTTCACTTCTTCCATATGCATGAAAAGCTTCACTGAGTTTCTAGTTGTTCAAAATCAAATTTATTATTGCTTCCCTTCCTTGAAATGCAAATTGTTGCAGATTATTAGCAGAGTTTCTCTCTAAGAATTTCTCTTTTTATCTAAAACAGTTGCAGGTTGTTAAATGAAGCAAGGCCAGGGAGTGAGTATGATCTCTGGAACACCTGAATTTGCTACTGGATTTTAGCACTCTCCCTTGTATTTTGTGGGTCTAGGCCAACTAGGAATCTCTCACATAACACCTAACCACAGTCAGGGTTAATAACGTACACCAGGGACCCTTCCCAGCAGGCATCATGGACAACAGTGCACCAAGTTTGTCCCCTTCCATTTACACAGTGCTTCAACATCACTCCAACAGCCTGCAGATCCATATGCGTCCCTAAACAGCCTCATGCTGCGTACTCTGCAGCACATAACTCTTTTTGTGACATTATAACATTGCTTTGTTGGGCTACAATACAACTTTCACGTTGTTTCATAAACTCAGAAGAGAAAAAAAACACATAAAGAAATCTGAGCTCTATTTAGTACTACACATGATCCAGAGGAGTTACAAAGCCAAGTGTTATGTAATGTACACAGCAAGAGAACAGTCACAATCCTGTTTTACTTTGTGGGTTTTTATTCTTTCCTCTTTTTTCCCCTCTTCGCCAATACTGCAACAAAAAAGTCTTGAGTGGTCATGAAGAAATCTCACTGAAGTCATTAGAGAAATGCAACGCTTCCAATAACGCACTTTTTAGCACATGTACTTATCAACAGAAAGAGAAAGCAATTTCAAAGTGACAGTTCTAGGGAGAGGAATATTTCAGGTTACAACCAATGAGACACTAATAATCACACAACAAAATTATCCAGAAATGATAGCTGGAAAACCTAAGGATATGTTCAAGGACTCAGCTTGAAATGTGATTCCCGATTGGTAGTATGCAACACTATATCCATGAGCTAAGTATTAATATTAAAAACTGTCATATCCCTTATCTCGAAAAAATTCTCCAATCTTATACTGCTAAATCCAAAAGGTGACAGCAAGTGTTATTACCAATAATAAGAAGTGTTGTAATTTCTGCCTAATACTCTATTTCTGTTATGGTGTCTACAAGCCCCTAACGCTTCACTTGAGCTATCTTGTCCATAAAAATAAGAAAATACTACAAAATTTTATCCATGTGAAACTTCTACAACCAAAGAAAGCCCAATATTCAAATCTGAGTGGGGAAGGATAGCATCCTCCTTCCATCCTCTGGCTTAAATCTAAAAAAGACTGAATGATCCAGTATCACCATAGAGCTAGAGAAACAGCAATGAATATTCAGGCTGAATATAATTCAGGCAATATAATGAAAAAAAAAAAAAAAAAGTAAAAATCTGAGGAATCCTGAGCAGGAAGTAAAAAATTTTTACTTCTTTTTACAGAGAAGTAAAAAAAAAAAGGATTTAAGCACAGAGACTATTGGCAAAGATGTAATGGAAAGAGCATTGACGTGTATAAGGATAACTGTGGACAGATGGGGAAAAATTGTAAGGACAGTAAGTAAAAAATATGAGAAAAAGAGGAAAGACAAAAATGACAAAATGGACAAACTAGACAATTCAAACCTTGCAGGGAAAGTGTGAAAAGAGCTATAATTAAATCATGCAGGTGGAAGGTCTTGCCAGACAAGGAACCGAAATTTTTAATAGTGCACAAAATAAATACAATTTGAAAAAAAAAATACATGCTTTTTCTTTTAATCCTGTATTTGTTCTTTCAACATTAAATTGTTTTTCTTAAATCATTAACATAATAGAATTAGATATTAATGTAAGACACAATTTCAGGCTAAAGAGCCAGAAACAAATTTTTAATTACAAATATCTGTATTGGTGAGTTTTTGTTGTTTGTATTCTCTTCAGTAATAACTAGATTTCTGTAGCAATAGATGTTTCATGACATATACCCACGAGAGTTTATAACAACACATACAATTATAAACATTCTCAAAGAAAATGTACGGCTTTTCATTCAATGCAATTTCACAAATCTGAACACAAATAAAAAGTATCATCATAATGTTCTGGGCACAGGCATCGAAATTTTCTGTTCCAAATATCATCAGAGGTGTTAATTCTCACTATTAGTCTATTACAGAGTTACACATAGTAACTCCTAATGCATACCTGTGTGAACATATAAATAAAACACTGGAAAGTAACTCAGATCTCACATGCTATTCTTTCACATTAAATATGTTAGAATATTTTACAAGTGAGATCTCTCACATTTTTACAGAGAAGGAAACTGAACCTAAGAACGGATTTTCCAAAGGTAACCAAGGATCAAGGATTGTGGAAAATGACCAAAGCTAATAGTGTTTGCATAATACAGAAAACATGTTGCTAATGTTCTAGTCGTAGCTCTGTTCTTAGGATATTTGTATGTAAAGGTATGCCAAAAAAATAAACAGGTAATAAAAGTTTACCCAAATGCAGTACCAACTGCGTCCTGACAGTCATTCTGATACTCTAAGATTCCATGTTTTGTTTACATACCTTATATAAAACTATTTCAGGACTTTGTTCAGCTCTTGGGAACCCAGAGTAAGAGAAACAGACCTACTCAAGGGAGTCCAGGAGGACGGCCACAAGGATGATGAGGGGCTGAAGCACCTCCCCTACAAGGACAGGCTGAGAGATTTGGCATTGTTCAGCCTGGAGAAGACTCCAGGGAGACCTTATAATTGGCCTTCCAGTACTTGGAAGGGGACCTACAGGAAAGATAGGGAGGGACTCTTCATTAGGGAGTGTAGTGATAGGATGAAGGGTAATGGTTTTAAACTGAAAGAGGGTATGTTTGGATTAGTTATTAGGAAGAAATTCTTTACTGTGAGGGTGCTGAGGCACTGGAATGGGTTGCCTGGAGAAGCTGTGGATACACACTTCTCCTGGAAGCATTCAAGGCCAGGTTGGATGGGGCTTTTAACAACCTCATCTAGTGGGAGATGTCCCTGCCCATGGCAAGGGGGTTTAACTAGGTGAACTTTAAGGTCCGTTGCAATCCAAATCATTCTATGATTCTGTGACCCATCGAGAGAGGAGCTAGGGAGACAGCAGCTTTTAAGAGAAAGATCTTATCATGAAAGAAAAAAATCCCACAATCTGTAAAATCTACAGGTAACCAAGTATGAAGACAGACACTAATGACATAGGAAAGCTTTTACTGAGGGAAGGAAACAAAAATTATATCAACAAAGCTAGTTTGAAAGGGAGGAGAGGAGT